TACACTGAATGTTTGTGTAAATCCAATAAATAAAAAATAGAGGAATTTTCTGTATGCCTTCTCCCTCCGTATCCTTAAGAATCAGGATCAAAAAATGAAGAAGAAGGAGAGGCGTCGCCTCAGATCAGAGAGAGAAAATAATAGTAGTGCCCCTCAGACTTATCTTCTGATGTCCATATTGGGGATATATATATATATATATGTTTAATGGGTCTGATATTATCATAAGCGGTATTATTTTTGGGCCTTAAATTAAAACAATTGATTTAATATATATCCACGTGTAATATTTTAATAGGCGAGGCCAAAATTTGGTGTCAGCACGTACAAGTTAATATTGACCCGTAAGTTATGAATTTTTTTTTTTAATTTTAAATAATTCTTTTTATTTTGTTAATATATTATATACCAAATATAAACCATGCAACTAATAAAGGTAATAGCTGCAAGTTTTGTTAATATATTATATTTCAAATTTAAATCATGCAACTAATAAAGGTAATAGCTGCAATATTTGACCAAAATGATTATGTACATTAATTACATTAATTTAGGCGAGATTTTTTAAATTTTGGCAAAAAAAATTACCCAATTTAGTAATTCTGAATTTTTAGGCGGGAAACTATATTTTTTTACTGATTTTTAGTTACTATTTGAAATAAATATCATTGTCTCTTTATATATTAATAGATATAAAAATTACTAGGTTCAGTTATCACTCTGTGATATAGTTATGAACTCATAAATAATTATAAATTATTTTTTAATTTAGTTGTGTTGTTCAATCACATTCGCTCTCTCGATTAATGCCTTGGCTCTATCACCTCTATTAACACAAATAGGATTATGCCGTAAAAGAGCAAAACCCTCGGCTTGTTAGTAAATGAATCATAACTCGAGCTCGAGTTCGAGCTTAACTCGTTTATCAATATTAATGATTTTAATTCAAGGTTTAATTAGTCAAACTATATAAAACTACATAATTTTTTTTTTCGAGACGAGTCGAGCCTCTTTCGTTAACGAAATGAACTTTAAGCGAGCTCGAACTTGGCTCGTTTATCAAACTTCTCGAGTCAAAACGACCTGGACTCACGAGCGACTAGTTTTGTTTACCAGCTCTATATAGGATCAAACAATCATTAAACAAATAGTCAATTCAATCTCATTTGCTCTCATCCGGTGTTTCATCTGCAGTAGTACAAATGGAGTTGTCTTTTAAAATTATAAAACAATTGGCGCAAACTGTAACTATATTTTAAGAAAGATAATAACTTTTGTATTTGTCATAAGAATTCTATTTTACCTTTTTAATAAAATTAAATTATATATCATATGAATTTAAAAAATAATAAAATTATTTATCAAGTAAATGATCTTGTCAATTAAATTCATTATGTATTTATTTTAAAAGAATATTTTGTGATATACATTGATACCCATCAGAATTAGTCACCAAATTCACGAAAGTAAGCTAACACGTTTGAAATATAAGAACTATAAAAATTAAATTGAATATTTACATAATTCAAAAAAAATTTGGAATATCACTTTCTAAATAGATATTAATCCCCTCTATATGTAATTTCAGAATGGGTTGAGCCTATGACCCTAGGTAGCAAACTCTCACGTTTCGGAATCATATTTGGCAAAAAAATGGATTAGACTTGGATATAAATTAATATTTTTATCACACTAAATCAATAATTGATTTTTTCCTTCTTTACTTCTACAATTAGTTACTATAAATTATTTTATATTTCTTTTTTCTACAGTACATCGATACCCATTAGTTATTATAAATTTTTCTTCTTCTTATTTTAAGATTTTATAACTTTTTTGTTTGTATTTTATTTTTTTATATATGATATATCAAATCAACAATCTTTTAACGATTTTCGATTTGACATTCATATTATATATATACAATGCAAAATAGTAATATATATTCTTTTTTTTTTCAAACGGCATAAACATACTCATAAAAATAGTAATATATATTCTTATAAATAAAATTTAAGTTTATTTATCAAACTAAAGTAAAAGATATCAAATAAAACTATAAACTATATTATAAAGTAATATAAATTGGTATGTATTCTTTTAAAAATAATATTTATTTCAGATCTAATTGGTTATCAATCCAATAAAAATAAATAATTATTTATATAAATCTAAAATTACATATAAAGTTAGAAAACGTAAATCACGACGGATACGACACTTGATGTATTAGGCATCTAATTAAGTAAAAAATTAATCTATTTTTGCTTAATATTAAACAAACATATTCTGCACTTATGCATATACATATCACCATATTGTTTCTATTTATTTAAAATATATATATTTTTACTTAATAATAGTAAATAGTATCGATAATTTTATATGATATAAGTAAAAGAATTCAATATTGTTGGGTATCCTCCTAGATCTGGAGTAAACCGGCTGAGATGAGCTCCGATCTGTCTGAACTGCCTTTAGATCGCCACAAATACCTGCAAAAACTCAACGCCGCAGGGATTTTCGGCGTAAAACCTCCGATGCTTAAGTCAGAATCAGCAAGAGAGAAGATGCTCTGCAGAGAGAGCAACAATAAGATATGAAATGTGTAGAGAGTGTAAAAGTTAGAGTTTGGTATTACCTCAACCCCTTTTATAGAGAAAAATACCTGCCCAAAATGTCCTGTGCCGACCGGCCTGATTGCCAGGTTGTGTCCACGTCCTAATCACTTATTAGTCAGATTTGAGTCAGCTTAAGATTCTATATTATCCTTTAAAGTTTTCTCCTTATCCATTAAGCTCATTGAATAGAGAGAGACAACTACTAAACATCTTAAGCAATAAGATAATTGAGGTCGACCTCGAGCAACGAGGCCTATCTCGAGCAGTGAGGTTGACCTCGAGCAACGAGGCAACCGAAGTTGACCTCGAGTGAGTGAAGTCAACCTTAATATACGGGAGGTTGCCTGCAACCTTCCATTTCTCCTTCTGGAACCACATTCGAGACCCTTAGGTCATCCCTCTTTCCTGATGTCGAGCCGATTTCGCTCATGTGTACTTCGAGTTGTGGGGTATGGCGGAGTCGAGCTCGATATGTAGGAGGTCGACTTACAATGAACTTCGAAGCTACTAACTTCATGCATGGTCCTCTCGTGAGTCAATCATTGATCATCTCTGGATTGCTCATCGTCTTCATATCATTTTATCAGTCTTTACGTTGTTAGTCGACTGAGACGGTCATTGTCGAGGCCCTCGATTTTGCCCACGGTCATGGTTGTGGTCTCAGGCCTACATTCCTAACTCAAATCGTCATGCTATATCTCGACTTGAGACCGGTCGAGCTATTATGGCTATATCAAATATGAGTTGACATTTTTATTTAATATACGAGTGTTTAATTATTATGATTAAAAAATATAGTTTGACAATTTACTTAAAACCCAAAGTAATGTTTTATATAAAATTAAATTATTTTAATTTTAGAAAAATAATATTTTTTTACATATGTTTCCTAATTCAACACCGGTGTATTTTTACACGAGTATTATACTAATTTTATGTTATACATAAAATCTCATCGGACAACTGCACTATGTATGATAACTTTTTTATTGCTGAATAGCCTTCAATTTATAAAATTACATGAATAAATACAACCCGAACATCGCACACATTACATACTAGTATATAAAAAAGAATAGTATTTACCGCGAATAGCATAATAAAATTGTGAAGCACTAACTACTTACTTAAAGTAGTATCTTAAAAAAAATATATATAAATCTATATAATATACAACCAATAAAAAAATTTGGATTTTTGGTAGCTGTATTTTCAATATTTTTTTTTTCCAAAAAGAAAGACCATTTTTTTTTCCCATAATCTTTATATTACTTTTAGAAGAAACGAGTATTGATTATTCCTTCATTTTATATGCCAACGGGTAAAAGACATGAATAAGATTAATTATTTTTGTCCATGTACAGTCTTTATTTTTATTTAAGTAATAATTGGAGGTCATTGTAATTATGTACTGCTCAATATATGATTTAAATTTGAACTATATGTATTAGTTATATAAAAGTGGTTACTTACAACTATTTAAAAACTAAATACATAAGTTTAAAATGATAAATTAGCAAATCATCTTTCTAGTCAATATGCAAATAATTAACTCGAGAATAAAAATGACAATATTAATAACATGTACTTTTTAAATTAGATAAAGTATACAAAATAAATAATAGAATTTTATTAGTTAGAATTCTGAAAGATGAGTCAATATCAATTCGAGCTTCTACCCATTTGAGATAGGGAAGATAAGAAACTATCAATTATGTGCTGAAAGATTAAATTTATTGATTAAGAGCTCAGAATATTTAAAGCCGTCAAATTAAATTTTGAATATAAATGTAAAAAATATAAATAACAATATCGAACCCTAAATAAAAACATAAAAAAGATATGAAAAGTATGGACAAACTTTGCATGTCATACGAGTTAAAAAAATATAAAACATATATAAAAATATTTAAAATAAATAACATTATAAAATATATTTGACCTTTAAAATATTCAAACAGTTTTAAATCATGATGATCATAAATTGACAGATTTCATCTTTTAAGCCCCGAAAAAATAATTGACTCATCTATCACGTCTGAAACTAATAAGAGCTAAAGTTTTAAATTAATAATTTCATTTTAAATCTCTTGGCTAGTTGATAGAATACTCAAATAGTCAAATGGATAAATCTCTATTAATAATTGATAAATAAAATAAATGAATAAATCAGAATTAAATAATATGATAAATAAAATAAATGAATAAATTGAAATTAAATAATATAAAACTATTTGTTTTTAATTTTTTATACTAATTTTTATGGACAAATGGGGATGAGATATTTTTGCTCTAGCAAGTGTAATGACAAAAATGATTAAAAAAAAGTAGATATCTCAAGTTGAAAATAATAATAATAATAATAATTCCTCCCATACCGTTCAGTCAGTCACTACTCAGTCGATATAACATCCTCTCGTCCACGTTCACTCTATCCCTTCAACGCACAGACACACTCAGAAACACACACTGAAGATCAATCAATGGCGTCCACTTTCCAGCTGAAACCCCTATCCTTTTCCCTAGTTGTCACCGGCTCATCGGTATCTCCGCCTCTCTCTCTACGTCCCGTTGGGCTTATCCGCGGCGAATTCTTCGGTGGTGGCTGCCGCACTCTCCGCCTGCCGCGGCGGAGATGGAAGAAGCCGCGGCCGAGATCCCAGGCTCGTTACTCTATGGTATTCTACAACGCCTCGCTCGACTCGCACCCGATTCTCGTCTTCGCGGCCGCTATTGCCACCGTGTCCGCCGTTACTGTTGTGTTTATATCTTACTCGATAAAACAGCTCAATGTAAAGCAGGTAATGCATTAGAGCTATTTTCGGTAGTTTTTCTTTTAGAATTCGTGAGAGTATATTGTGTTCTTATGTTGACTGGTACGGATGAGCTGATTTTAGATACACTTCATGGTGATCGCTGACAAAATACTGTGTATACAATGAATGTGCATGTTCAACTTTTGAATGAAAATTTGGAGTTGTTTCATTTTCATAATCTGAAAAGAATTCCACGTCTGTTATTAATTAATGAGACACTCTGTATATGTAAGGTCGTAGTGTGGTGAAGTAATTTTTGTTGATCGATGATTTTGTTGATCAGTCACACGATATTATTTATGTTGATGCTCTTCCATTTTTTTTTTTCGGTTCAATTACCCAAAACAACGTTCTGATTTNACATTGTTTAGATGTCAGGAAAGCTAACACTTGCAGTATCTGAACAAATAAGAAGTATGATGGGTTGGATGCTTACAGATTCACATAGTCAACAAAGGAAGAAAGGATCTGTTTATGGGAGCAAAGATAGTATGGGAGAAACTAGAGAAACCGATCATGCAAATAATTATGTGAGTGATGAGTTTAAATTCAGGGAAAAAGTTGCCACTGCTGGAGGAGCTGTCGTTGAAGTGGCATCTCAGTTTCAATCAGACACAGTCGCTTCAAGTTCCCACGATTATTCGACTTCCCAAGCATCCGAAACCATTGAGATACCATCTCTGCCTTCGGTATTATCCAATCATGGTGTTCAAAATGTAGATGAACACCCAAATTCAGCTGCTTCTAAAGTTGCAGTAATGGAGACTGTGGTTGGCAAGTCTCTTTCGCCAGCAGCTCACATACATGAAGGAACAAATCAATATGGTGGTCGAAAGATTGAATTCCTCGAAAAGGATGATACAAATATCTTTAACCATATTTTCAACAGCTCTGCACGCAAAGAACTGCACACCATTGACAAGATGTGCCTGGAACAGCTGGACAACCTGGAACCAGTGTCATATTATGCTACCCTTCAGATGAAACACAGCTATTCCTCGCGCATGTACAATTCTGTGGGGGGAGGATCGAATCTTGCTGCATGCAATGCTATCTTACCTATAGGTTGTTCTTTCCAGTCACAGGATTATCTATTGTACTTCTGGTTATGCTTATACGAGACTATATTATGTTTATTCAATTTTTTTTTCCTTAACCAGAGAAGTCGGAAGAGGATAGGCCTCTTGGATATCACAGTCAAGGCTTTCTCTTCCAGCAGAAGGATGCAATACATAGGTTGGAGTTAAGAAAGAAGGACAACAAAGCAATCCATTGTGATACGCCTAAGAACTCACCCCCACCTTCTGATCCCAAGGATAAGCTTAACCATGACAAGCATAATCATTCGTGGCAATTACGTGTTTACAACCAACTTTTGAGGGAAGGAAGGTAAATGTCATTTTAGGTCACTTACATTCTTAGACAAGAAGTACTGGAGTTATAATGCATTTATATCATCATCTGCAGTTTGTACCTGACATTATTGATCCAAATGTGTGCAGTTTAATGATGTTACCAATTATGATTTTTCCTACTTTTATTTTGTTGTCAAATACCTATTTATTTGTTTTATAATTCTAGGTTAAATGATTGCATAGAGTTGCTTGAGGATTTGGAAGAGAAGGGTTTGTTGGATATGGATAAGGTGACTTAGCATTTCTCTAGTTTTCCTATTATTATGATGCCATGCAAACTGTTACTTAGTTGTTCAATTTCATGCCTCTAGGTTTATCATGGAAGGTTTTTTGAAGTTTGCAAAGTTAAGAAGGATATTAGGCAGGCATTCCGCTTCACTAAATTCATCCCAAACCCAACCTTGAGTACGTTCAACATGCTTATGTCTGTTTGCACGAGCTGTCAAGATTCAGAAGGTACCTTCTCGCTCTCTAAACTGAAAGGTTCCCGTGATTTTTCCAGCGTCCGACATTTTGACTCTTATTTACTTTCTAATTTCTCTTCTATGTAGGTGCTTTTCGAGTTCTTCAACATGTTCAGGAGGCTGGTTTAAAGGCTGACTGCAAACTTTACACTACTTTGATCTCAACCTGCGCTAAAAGTGGCAAAGTGGATACAATGTTCAGAGTATGGAAACACATTTCAATTGCGGACATTGCTTTTCCAGTTTAGATGCCCATGTTCTCAGTTACCAGGGCATGAGATTTAGATTCTTCTTAAAACTGAAATACTTCATTGGATTTTTTTTAACTTAGATGGATACTTTTATCCAATTCTGGCATCCAGAATCTGTTCATAATCATGCTTACATTCAACCATGTCATTGCAATCACATCTATGTCATTGATTATACCCAATCCTTGCAAGTATAGTTGATTTTAATTGGTTCAGTCTTGATAAATTTTCATAGTAAATAACTGTATCTACTGCGTCATACTCATACATTTTATGTATATAATTGCATGCCTCTCATCGTGTATATCCCGATCACAAAGATGTTTATTTCACTTTATTATCATCATTCTAGAATCCTTAATCCTTATGGGGTTTATTCAACTTTAGGTTTTCCACGAAATGGTAAATGCTGGAGTTGAACCAAATCTTCACACATATGGCGCACTCATTGATGGTTGTGGAAAAGCAGGGCAAGTTGCTAAAGCTTTTGGTGCCTATGGATTACTCAGATCTAAGGTGAAAATGTCTTCTTATGTTATGTTCTATCTTCATCGTCATATAAGATGGCGTGCCAATGAGATTTTCTCGATTGAAAAGCTATTGTGTATCTTATATGCTGGTTTGCCATCTAATCTAAACTTCTTGTGCGTATTAGAACGTGAAACCAGACCGAGTAATTTTCAATGCGCTTATCACTGCATGTGGTCAATCAAAAGCAGTGGACCGTGCATTTGACGTGTTAGCTGAAATGAGCGCAGAGAAACACCCCATTGACCCTGATCACATCACAATTGGTGCACTGATGAAGGCTTGTGCCGGTGTTGGTCAAGTGAGTTCTTTCTGTCTAGCTTCTACTTGAAACCATTATCTTCGCAATTTTATTTGTTCCTTATTTTATTTTCATCTTGTTTCGTCCACTGCAACATAAATAGGATTTCAAACTGTTTTAGGTAGATCGGGCGAGAGAGGTTTACAATATGATTCATAAGTACAACATTCGTGGCAATGCAGAGCTTTATACTATTGCAGTGAACAGCTGCAGTGATTGGGAATTTGCCTGCAGTGTTTATGATGACATGATAAAAAAAGGTGTCGCTCCAGATGAGGTGGCTCTTTTAAACTTCACCATTTTTACTTTTCAGAAGCTATTTTTAGTTACTTATTCTTTAACTGTAATTATAACCGCTATGAGAGATTAGGATAAGATATTTGTTACTGTTTCCAGAGAAATTTTCGATTAGTTTCACACAAATTTATTATTAAACTTCATAATCCTTTAAAATTCTGTTTGATGTAAAGAATATATGATGCATTTGGCAGAAGTGTATGTTTGACCCACATCGATTAGTTAATAGGCTCTTATTGTGTAAAAGTGTGAGTTGGGCATCGTCTGCTTATGAGCTGGCTTTTGGGGATGAGTTCTTATAGTTATTTTCTTATTTTTTATGTTTTTTCTAATTCTATATTATGTACAGTAATACTTGTGCCAACAGAAGTGGCTCTTCAGAGGAGAATGGTGATATCATTAAGTGATTAGCCACTAAAATAAAAAGTGTGTCAAACCTCAAAAGGCCTTATGAATGTATTACTTCCTTTCTTTGAACTTATACTTGTTTTTTCTCCAGTGCATGCTTAAGGCTCCTATAATTCTATGCCTTTTCTAATGCATGCACACACACACACATATATACATTTGCAGCTAAATATTGAGTTTATGAGATACTAATTACTAGTACCCGCTGAAGTGGCTCATTAGAGGTTATATGATGAGCTGGTTATTGAAAAGTCTGATTTGTCTTTCTTTGTTTATTTCCTTAATACAGAAATTTATCAGTGCCTTGATAGATGTTGGCGGGCATGCTGGAAAAGTTGATGCTGCATTTGAAATTGTACAAGAAGCTAAGGCTAGAGGGATGAATGTTGGAATAATTTCGTACAGCTCGTTGATGGGAGCCTGTAGCAATGTATGTGCAACTCACTAATTTCTAGAATTCAAGTACAAAATTTTTGTAGAGTACTATAATTAGAATCAAAGTCTCTTTGAGATTTTCTTCCTCCAGATAAGTAGGGTGTTAACAGGGAGCTTCTTTTATTGATTTTTTTGTTAATGAATAGCTCTAGACTGATTCTTCCTGGCTTCAAGTAGTAGAAAATGTCTACTGAAAATTTCTTTTGCTTTGAGCCTATTGTTTCCATGCAGTATCTCATTCAGATGGAAAAATCATTGTTCTAGTGTAGACATTCCAAGCCACTCTATTTTAACAATTTGGGATGCCAAAGTATTCGTCTAGTAGGCTTTAGAAAGCATTCAGTCATAAATGAATAGATCATGCAAAGTTCAATGATTGATTTCCTTTGTTATTTTTTCATTTGTTATATGATTCCACTATTATAACACGAGGATATTTATGTAGTCAGCCACGGTAAAATTATTTCTAAATATTTACTAAATTTGTTTAGGCTAGAGCCTGGCAGAAGGCAGTGGGTCTGTATGAGGACATCAAGAGATTGAATTTGAAGCCAACAGTGTCAATGATGAACGCCTTGATAACTTCTTTGTGTAAGTTTCTTTACCAGGCTTTCAACAGATTACCGTTACAGAACCCTTAAAAGAACACTTGGCTGTATTTATATTCCGCAAATTCATGGACTGCTATTAGATGTACATTCTCAAAAGCAACTAAGCAAGGGATTAGATGAAGCAAAATTGGTCCTCTTACATTTAGGCTCAGATCCAAATTCCGAAGTATCATAAATATATTCCACGCACAAAAAGCTATTGTTGTTGTTGTGTTGTAAATCTTTTTTCACATTGCTCTGCAGGTGATGCTGATCAATTGCAGAAGGCCATGGAAATTTTACAAGAAATGAAAGGCTATGGACTGCGTCCAAATACTATAACTTACTCCATTCTTGCAGTGGCAAGTGAAAAGTAATTACCTCTCTTTATAGTGAATTGATATGATTTTAACCTGCTCGTCAAACTAGAATTGTGTGTTCTCAATTCTCATGCACCAATTTATATTTTCCAGAAAGGATGATCTAGAAGCTGGCCTCGCTCTTATTTCTGAAACCAAAAAAAATGGTGCGACTCCCAGCCTTCTAATGTGCCGGTGTCTCATAGGTGAGATTTGTGTGTCTTCTTATGTTTATTTTCTTATTAGATTGATATATAAAAGTAGTCCATGATTTGTGTGATTAGCTGCTTTTATGCAATATTTTGTGATTGGACTAGACAAGGTACTGTTAAGACTAAATTTTGCTAATATCAGTCCCGGTTGTCAAAATAACCATAGTTTCTCTTCCTCATTTCTCTGAGTCATATGACTAAATAACTGAATATGATTTGATACTTTTACAAACTAGGTTTGATTTGTCGTTTTTTACTTCGATGTCTAAGTTTCTCCTTTTCTGCTTCCAGTGTAAGATTTAAAAGTGGAAAATGGTTTAAGACTTGAGTCTCAAAATGTCATAAACCTTCTTTGTCAAAGCTTATGCCGGAGCCAATTACTAAGAATGGAAAACTACTCTATTCTGGACATATGTTGTCATATTTTATCCTGCAGTTATCCCCTTGTTTAATTTTTTGTTTTTCTTTCCTTGTTTTTGATGCGTAAACTGTTTGCTGACTTCTTCAAGTTTGTTTTCTGAAGCTATGTGCTCAAGGAGATTCCAAACAGCTAATACACTTGGTGACCCAGTGCTGTCTTTCACCTATGGGGGAGTTCAGATTAATAGTAAATGGTTTGCATTCTTACCATATTATTGCAATAACATTTTGTAATTATTGCTTCTAGTTTAGATGTAGTAATCACTTTCCATGATACATTTAGTGAAGCTATAGTTTTCTAACTAAATTAAATCTTGTTATCTGACAACTGTGACTTTGGATAAGCCAGTATAGCATCCCCTTTCATGTCGGACCCGATGATACTGTTTGCAGATTTTTATTTCTCAATATACTTTTCTTTTATTTCTATTTTTGACCTGGATGCTCAATACACACAAACACAAACACACATATGTGTGTGTGTGTGCGTGCGCGCATGCGTGCGTGCCTGCATGTGTATTCGGCCACCATCAATTGCGTAGTTGTGGAGTTTCACATTGTTATTGGTCTGAAATGAAAATCTGATGGTTGCCTTCTGTTGCTTGGACTTCCACTGTCAGTACTTAATAATGTAATAATTTAATAATGAGATATTTTTGTTTGTATTTAGAATTAGGAGAGTATGTTGTGGATGCAGCTATCATGAGGTCTCATTTTCTAACTTCTGCATATGGAATTTAATAATGTAATATTTTTGTTTGTGTTTAGACGAACTGGGAGAATTGTTGGAATTCAATAATGTAATATTTTTGTTTGTGTTAAGACAATTAGGAGAATTTGTTGAGGATGCCGCTATCATGAGGTCCCGTTTCCAACTTCTGAAATGAAATCGATCCATGCTCCTTTCAGACATTTGAATTGGTTGATGGAACTGTAAAACCATATATATAACCCCTGTTGACTCAGTTTGCACAATTTTTGATTTCTCTTAAAGTATACACATTTTCATCTGTAAGTTTTGCTTAACCATTTGATTTCATTCAGACGTAAAGCACATCCTTTATGTATGCCTGTAACTTTGCAGGACCTCCTTGGCCTTGATGGTGTACAGAGAAACAATCCTAGCTGGTGTTGTACCTACTATGGATGAACTATCTCTTGTCTTGGGTTGCCTACAGCTCCCTCATGATGTATCTGTACGGAATAGACTCATTGAGAATCTTGGAGTTAATGCTGATAAATCAAAAGACGCAAATCTCTTTTCCTTGATTGATGGATTCGGGGAGTATGATCCCCGTGCCTTTTCTATAGTTGAGGTCTGTACAGACTTAAGAAATTCATTTTATTGGCAATGTGCTTAAGATTTTGCTCCTTCAAAAATTCATGTCGGAGAAAGTTCACAGATCCTTTGCTGTTTTTTAGGAGGCTGCTTCTCTTGGAGTTATTCCATTTGTCTCTTTTAAAGACACCCCAATCGTTGTTGATGCAAGAAATTTTCAAGTTCATACAGCTGAGGTGAGCTGATTTCGTTTAAGCTACATCGTTTATTGTAGCGCTAATAAATGTACAAACTACTTGGTTATATCCATTTAGGCTACACGGTAAATCTTACGAACTGACAATTAGAAGTGATTTTGTTGGTCTCTTTAGGATTCACATTGATTAAAATATTATCAATCATCAGAAGAGATTTATATGGTGTAAAAGTTATTAAGTTCATTTTTTTTTTCTTTTTCATTTTTAAGTTTGTACATGTGCACCTATTGTCGACAAAATGTGTGCATAACCTATTGTCTATATCCTGCAATGAGCAATAACTCTAAACGTGGTTGCAAATATTGATCAGGTATACCTCTTGACAGTTCTGAAAGGCCTCAAGCATCGGTTGGCAGCTGGTAACAATTTACTTCTTTGTTTAATTCTGGATTTATTGTTTCATGAGATCACAAATCATTTGAACTGCCATTTATGCCTGATAAACTGGGATTAAACCATCTGTATTGTCTTTAATGATCACTATTCAACGACAGTTTTATTCCATGCTTCAGTTGTAACACTTTTTTCCTGACCTTGAACAGGTGTAAAGTTGCCTAATGTAACTATTTTACTGCCCGTAGAAAAAACACAAATTCAGACTTCTTCTGGGGAGAAAATAGTTAATATTGCGGGCAGGTTAGATTATCTTCTTGCTTGGACCTTCTTTTCCCTTAACTGCTTGTGTGTTTGCACATTCTATAGATTCCTTTTCAACAATATTATAGCATATTATAGGGACATCGCATTTGTGTTTATGTAATTTTTTTTTTTCAGTTATTCCAAAGATGGATGCCATTTTAACAAGTAAATTATAATCTTTTTGTACTTCTTTAGTTGAATCTTTATCTCTATTTCTGATTGCCATGTATGATGCTTTTAAAACTAATAAGCTCCAATATGTTCTGAAGATGCTTTAATTGCTCAACAGGATAAGTCAAGCAGTTGCAGCCCTGTTGAGGAGACTTGGATTATCTTATATAGGAAACGAGTCATATGGAAAGATTCGAATAAATGGCGTCACCATAAGGACGTGGTTCCAGCCAAAGCTTCGTTCTCGATTCGATGCAAATAATATGGATTTTAGCTCATCCGTAAGACATCTGGGTTCGGGAATAAGTCGTCAACAGTTCGAAATCAGAACCGACCATTTTTCATTGGAATAAGGTTTACATATATGGGTGCCTTGGAGAATTCATTCACTTGATAAATTAATAATCCATTATTATTATTACTATTATCCCTAGTTGGCCGACTCTTGTTGGTGTTATGATGGCTCACTGTCTCGGCAATAGAAAGTATCCTTTTACATGAGCTTTGAACAGTTGATTTATCAACTATAGCTGCCCTGGAATACGAAACCTGCAGGTGGTTTTGAGTTGGATTGAATTGGACTACGAGCTCTAAGGACCACTTCTTTGAATTTTGTGAAGCAAAAGTTGAAGTATTGGATGAAGATTTTAGGGTGGTACCCGTTGTAATCGGCCCTTTGTAATATAAATGAAGTACTGGATGAAGACATTGTCTTGTTGGCTTTGTGTTCTTTTCTATAATGAATGCACAGCCAAATACTGTTGTGTAGTAATTATGTATCCTTTATTTTCTAAATTGCTCAAATGGAAAGAGGATTAAAGAGATGAATTGGTATATTTGTACACTTCAACATTTTGAGTGGTTAAATCTGTCTAGGCATCATGTAACAGTTTCTGGTAGAAGATTTATGGAGTGTAATTTGTTATGTATTGTATATATCAGGGCATCATTTCTTGACTACTATGCTCTTCTCAGGTTATAGTGAATATATATACGCACAGTAATGTTGTTTTGACATTTTCATGTTTGTTGTCCTTTAAGGTGCCTAACGAAATTCTGGAAAATATGCTCAGTGCTTGTTCTGGAGATTGAAATGGGGAAACAGGGAATTTCAGAACTTTGCTTAATTCTCTGAAATAATGCCAGATAATAGTGCTATTTGAGCTTCAATTACTGGCAGATTACATTTTTTCAGTATGAATTGAGCAACCTTAAACATGATTGCTTGTACATCTGCTTTTGTAATGAGCCAGATATTGGCTTTATGTATAAAATGATCAAGTCAGTGGACACAAGCTGAAACTCTATTGGTAAGAAGTCCTTAGTCTCAATGTGTCCAAGTATAAGAATAAAAGATTTTTTCAAAAAAATCCCTGTACTCTAATCATGGTTCTAATTCTTCTTCTTCTTCTTTTTTTTTTTTTTTCCTCTACAGGAGTATACCACTATGCCATTGAGGTAGAAGAAAGTGTTAGAATATCACAACTCACAAGTGATATTCTAACACGCCCCCTCACTTGTGAGTCCTTCGAAAAGCCCAAGCCCAACTGACTGGGTGACTCACAAGTGATATTCTAACAGAAAGCTCATTCGGCAAAAAAGTTGTTGGTTGAGCACGAACAAGCCGAGTACTTCATGACATACCCAACTCAGAAGTCAACTTCAAAAAGGCTTCCTCCTTACAAGGAAATGTCAGGCCACCCATAGGATAATCAAAACCAAACTCTTGTTCGGCTTGCCGTAACAAGTCTTGAAATGATGGATGCTTCAGGTACGATATCGGTATTACATGCCTGTTATGGAACTCTCCTACATAAACTGCCAAATGACCTTTAGGAACATCTGATTGGTTCCTGGCTTGAGTAGATTGAATTCGGTAATGTCGAAAATGGAAGTTTGTAACATGTTTCTTTGGATATGAAATAAGAAACTTTTTGATGTGTCTGACCATATTTGCTTTATTTGGATTTTGTGGGTATTGGGACAGAGGGCTTGATTTTTACACATATTTATACCATTTGTATTAGCTAGCTAGCCAATAAGAGGCCAAGTAGGTGAGTGAAATCAGGTGCAACTGTGGATTTTTTTATCAGCTGGGAGTCTGGGAAGGTCTAATGATTGATATATATGTTTTTTAATTAAAAAAACTCAAGGAAAATATAAAATAGGAACCAAAATTTTAAAAAATAAGTCGACCGAAAAAACTTGGTCTGGCACACCAAACCAACATTTAATGTGGAAAACATATTTTCATTGTAAAAATCAAGTTTTGAAACAAAAGTATAAGT